CAGTCACTGTCTCTCTTTCTTTTTGAGACTGTGTGAGGCCTATGTTGCCACATCTTGAGGCAGTCTTGGCCCATCTAGGGGCTATGTTTCCCATCTTGCGGCTATGTGTGCCATATCTAGGACTATGTTGGGTCCTCTTGAGGGCCTCTGTTAGATCATCTTGGAGCACATGTTCCGCCTTTGCTGTTAGCGCGTGCCCAACACCCACGAAATGTCGATTAAGCCTGTCCGCGCGGAACGCATAACCGACACCGCCGGCGCCCTGTTAGGCGAAAGTCGTGGCCGCCGAAGGCCACGAACCACTGTAAAAAACGATGCGCAAAAAACCTAGTAGATACATAAAAATCTGTCGACCGGGTTCGGGCGGGTCGACCGGGGGTCGGGCGGGGGTCGACCGGATTCTCCCCGCGGTCGTATATAACCTTCGGTTACCAACCGAAGGCCTCCGGCAAGGACACGGGCGCGTGGCCGGCGCCCGGATTAAGCAAGAAAGGGCTGACGCCCTGGTGCCGCCGACCCCTTGTCATTTTGTGCGTGCAGGCGTGTCATTTGGCGCGAGTTGAATCAAAGGATACCTCTACGAGTTGCAGGTGTTGGAAAGCCCAAACCAAGATTTGGACACCAGATTTGCCTTTGTCGATCGTGGAGCCCCGCTTCAAAACTGGTTTGGCGCAAGAATCCCAGAAGAAGAAGAAGAAGAAGAAGAAGAAGAAGAAGAAGAAGAACGGATCCTCGTAAGATTGTTCAGGTGTCAGTCTCTTCATCATTCCTACGCATGGATGCGTGGGTCAGGACCAATGAAACAAACACACTTAAACAATCTTAAACACCTTTTAACACCTTGCCGAACTCTGTGGAGCCTTCTTGCACGTCTCTTCCCGGAACCACGTCGTGGACCCGCGCACATCACCCGTCGTCCGAAAGCCCCAGGGTCGCTGCAAGAAGCAAGCTGCGAGGGCGCAAACCTCGGCGCCACCACGCCCAAACACCCTGGCCCTGGAGGTTTCAAAAAGGGCAGAGAGCGACCGCTGCCAGTGTCTAACGTTGCCTTCGGAAG